TTCTTTTTTTTTTTAAAAGTCCATGGTGTTGTAGAGGCCGGTCACTGACTGCACAGTGATCACCTGGAGCTGTAGGCCGCGGGTGCCCTGAAGTTAAAAAAAAAAATTAACATTACTTTTGGAAATGAATGCAGATCTGGTGGAACGTGCAGAAGCAGCCGAACCACATATTGGTTTGCCTGCCCGAGGTACAGGAGGTTTTTTTTTTTTTTTTTTTTTTTTTTTTTTTTTTTTGTACCTCTCCTGGTTGATGCACTGTATCACTTGTTTATTGAACTTCATTCCGATCTTACTCGCCATTTTTTGTCTAAGCAGGTCTGAAAGGGGGTCATCCCTATGGGGCAGAAATTCAGCAATTGATTGAAAACCCAGTTCCTCCTCCATATCTTTCAGCACTGGATGATGAGCCGCCACCGCTTGAAGGAGGGTGCATTTGGGTCGATACTCCCGAAGCGCTTAACGATCTTGCCTGTCTGCTGGCCAAGGAAGTCGAGTTCGGAGTCGACACCGAGCAGCATACACGGCGGTCCTTTTTGGGTTTCACTGCGTTGCTCCAGGTCTGGTAAACTGATCCAGGTCTTGATTTTTTTTTACCTCATCTCCGGCCCGTATCTGACCGCAAAGAAGGCTTGTATACATTCATGATCAGGGAATGTGTTTGGGCTGGCTGGATGGCTTTGGAGGTTACACCGAGCAGCATACACGGGGGTCCTTTTTGGGGTTCAATGCACTGCTCCAGGTCTGGTAAACTGATCCAGGTCCTTTTTGGGGTTCACTGCATTGCTCCAGGTCTGGTAAACTGATCCACGTCTTGATTTTTTTTTTACCTCATCTCCGGTCTGTATCTGACCGCAAAGAAGGCGTGTATGCATTCATGATGAGGGAATGTGTTTGGGCTGGCTGGACGGCTTTGGAGTTTACACCGAGCAGCATACACGGCTGGTCTTTTCGGGGTTCACTGCATGGCTCCAGGTCTGGTAAACTGATCCAGGTCTCAATTTTTTTTTACCCATCTCTGGACTTTATCTGACCACAAAGGAGGCTTGTATGCACTCATGATCAGGGAATGTGTTTGGGCTGGCTGGACTACTTTGGAGCTGACACCCAATCAGCATATGCGGCTGGTCTTTTTGGGGTTTAGGGTTTAAGGTCCAGGTCTGGTAAACTGATCCAGGTGTCAATTTTTTTTTATCCATCAGGGTTGGTCGCTAAAAGGGGGAGCTATGAAGTGAAGAGGTGGAGGGAGGGTGGGTCCGGTGGACACTATAGTAGTATAGTGGTTTAGCGCTGAGTGACCGGATTCACTGGATGTATGCTTACTGTTTGCTTACACTGGATGGGTCAAGGTGTTTGTGTAGCCTCATTAGAGTAACTGGAGTACGGGCCTCGCCACACCACTCTCCAAATGCGAAAAAGACTAATATATGGAGGGTGTATCTCTCCATGTTCTCGTAGGAGATACATTCTCATTTTGCACATTTGGTGTGGTGCCTCACTCCTCTCCTTTCCTCTCTGTGCTAAAAGCAAAAACGCTTCTTCCGTAACACATTCCCGCTGAGACCCGTGGGGATTGTTTTGGGCCCACACAGATCAAGGTCGTGCGACTCGTGCCTTTGTAGACCCGATTGTAAAATGTTGCCCGAGTCTGGTTATTGAATAGTTATTGACTCAGTTGTGCACTTGTGTGTGTGTGTGTGTGTGTGTTGTCATGTTCGCTATACACAACTCCACAAAGGATGGCATGACTGTACCAGATGTGTGTGTGTGTGTGTGTGTGTGTGTGTGTGTGTGTGAGAGAGAGAGAGAGAGAGAGAGAGAGAGAGATTGACTCAGTAGTGTGTGTGTGTGTGTGTGTGTGTGTGAATTGCGGAACAGATATCTACTGGGACTCAGCAGGACTACATAATAGATGCCATTGCCCTACATGACCACATGCATGTCTTGAGACCCGTGTTTGCGGACCCATCAATTATCAAGGTATGAACTCTATGGAGGGTGATCGATTTATTTATTTTTTTCCTCCCAAGGGAGGAGGGGTAGCTGCTGACATTACTGTGTCCATCATTCCATCGGGAAGAACTCAAAATCTGTTGATGAATAGTATTGAATAGTATCATTGCAAAAATAGTATAACTAACATTCTCATCACAGAGGATTACTGGCTTTCCAACATACTGTCTGCTGAACTTGCCGGCGCTTGCTCCGTTATTTTCTCGCCTGCCAGTAGCTAGCAGTATGGGACTTGAGCCGAAAGTGACAAGTGGTGTGCATGTGCGCGAGTCTGTGTGTAATACTGTGTATGCTGTGTGTGAAGAGTTGTTTGGGGCGCTCGAGGATTCCTGTCGCAATGGCTCCCACCCTTGCGCCTGGAACTCCATCCTGATAAAACGACGGGTATATGGGACTTAAACCGGGCCCAAGGGCGCTCAAGGGTGCATCGTCACTACGGGAGAAGGATTCCCATTTCTGAGCACACGACGTTCTCCACCTTGTTTTCAAGTGAGGCCTTGTAAATCCTTTTTCTTCAATGTGAACACAAAACTCTTGACTTCATGTCCAAGGGATTTTGAAACACAAAGTGGTTTTGTGGCCCGGCCGGGCAAGTGGTCCCGGGCTCCCGGTGTACAAAAAAAAAAAAGAAAAGAGTTTGCTCAGGAGTGTATGTGGCTGAATGGTACACACAAGAAAGTTCTTAACAAACAGATCATGAATTTGAAAATTTTGAATCCTCGTTGGGATCTGATTGGATGGATAACTTTTTTTTTTTTCATTAAAAAATTGGACCATTGCTCGATTTATATGTGTATCATCCTTGCGTCGGTGTAGAAGTTTCACACTATTGTTTATTGTCGTCTATGATTTATCTTCATAGTTTTCGTGGTCTTTATTATGGGAGTTATGCCCGTCCATGCGAATTAGTGTGCTGTCTTGGAGTGGTCATTTCATTTTCATTATTAAAGGCCAAACATTTTTGCAATGTTTGCATGTGTTCTACGATAAAATAGGTTATGCTCAGGGGCACGAGCATCTACTCCTTATGGAATTTTAGGTGTCAAGGTGTGGGTCCCATATTCAAAATTTTCAACCAAAAGGTCCAAAACACATATGCTATATCCAAAATATCCAAAACGTCCAAAATTTGGTAAATATCAGAAAGGAAAGAGCAAAAAGGCAGGCGATCCACATACGGCAGACCCTGACTGACGGGCGTGCCGCCTTAGACTCTATCATAATCTTCTTTGTATCGTTCCAATTTTAACGCATGTCTTCAAAAAATTTAAAAATATATATTTCTATTTCTTTTTATAATTTGGTAAAGAATTTTGATCTGTCCGTGAGGCAAAAGTTGTTCAGTTTATTTTTCTGCATAACAATGATAACAGTCCTTTTTTTTTAGATTGTTTCTAGGCTACCAGGTCACATTGTTTGCCCGGGCGGCCCGGCCGTGCAAGGGCCAAAGAGGGTCTCAGCAAAAAAGAAAAAAGAAAAAAAAACTACCTTATGCAGAAAAATAAACTGGACAACTTTTGCGTCAGGGTCACATCAAAATTCTTCACCGAATTGCGAATGGAAAATGAAGTTCAAAGTTTGGTCCGGCCGGGAAAGTGGTCCTGGGCAACTCTGGTAGCCACAGTAGCCTAGGATTTTTTGGATTTTTTTTTTTTTTTTTGCTGCGACCTTCTTTGGTCCTTACACGGCCGGACCATTTGGGCAAACAAGGTGACCCGGGTGGCGCGGCTGGTGGCCGAGGTACACAGGTCCAACGGGTCAAACGTTGAGATCTGTTTGAGCTTTAAGCTGAGTGTGAGAGACTCCTCAGTAAACTTTTTTTTTTTTTTTTAACCTTTTCACCCTCCGAGGGACTGTTTTTTTGGTGTCGTAGTAATCATTCTGTACTTACTTTTGCCTTTCTCATTTTTTTGTTTGATTTTCTTAATTTTATTTTTCTCCTCTGTTCCTTTGGTAAATGAGTGAAATTGCAGGTTTTTCATGGAGCGGATAGTGACGTCTTGTGGCTGCAAAGGGACTTCCATATCTATGTTGTCAATCTCTTTGATACAGCCAGGGTAGGGATTCGTTCAGCCTCTTGTTCAGAGGAGAGAAATCGGATCCATTTCTCAACTTTGTCTCACTTGTCTAAGTTCTCTTCTCTACTGTTGTGTGGCCTTGCACTTTTTTGACGAAGATCATTTTCGCACATCCTTGTTATTATTCCACCGGATAGTCAGAAATATCAATAGCTACTGATCTTACTATTCCTCTCTCTCGTTACAGCCAGAGAGAACCTCCAACAGCGTTGATTACTCCCTCCTGGGAGGACTGACTTTTGGATATTCACGTACTTGCCTCCCCCGGCCCCTCCCCCTCCCCGTATCAATAGCCCCCTCCAAAAAGAACAGACATACTGAAAATCTCCTCTCAGTGTGCAATCGGCTGCCTGATAAATCTCACTTGCTCTCTCCTTAACCGTTTCTGATCTGAGGTCTGTGAATGCTCCCCCTCCTCTCTCCTTAACCGTTTCTGATCTGAGGTCTGTGAATGCTCCCCCTCCTCTCTCCTCCTCCCCCCCCCCCCCCCCCCCCCCCCCCCCCCCCCCCCCCCCCCCCCCCCCCCCCCCCCCCCCCCCCCCCCCCCCAATTCGGCGGAAATGTCCGAATTGCTGCACTTTGTGCCTGGAGGCTCACAAGAGCGTTTTCCTTCGGCCTGGAAGCCTCGAGTGACTTCATAGAGGTGCCATGTATCGTGCCCCCCCCTCCCCCAACCAGTCTATTTTTCACCTAGTAATGTTACCACTTTTGAAGAATTAGTCAAAAAAAAATTGACTGGTTATGAAATGACTTCCTTTTCGGAAAGGAAGTTCTGAGTCCCGGTCCCAGAGGCATACAGAGAAACAAATACGCACACGAAACATGCGCACATATCGGAAGAAGGGGTTAAGTTCCAGAATTGGAAGAAAGTATGTGTCGTAAACCACAAGTACATCGCCCAGGCAAACTTGAGAGTTGAAAACGAGTCATTCCAAATAAGTTAGGGGACTCGTCCCAGGGTGGGCCTGGAGGCGGGCAGACACAAAAACGTTCCCCATGCATAAGGGTTGGCACTGGTGCCCCGCGGGACAAAATAAAATTTCACCTGCCCTGGGGCGAGTCCCCAAACTTTTCGTAATGACTCATTTTGGACTCAAAAGTTTGCTTGGGCGTTGTACTTGCGGTTTAAGTATCATAAACAAAAGAAAGTATAGGTCTCAAGTACCATAAATAATGATAAACGGAAGAATGTCAAAAACAAAAGAAATATACGTATTAAGTACCATAAACACAAGTCTAAATACCAGAAACGAAGTAAAATATGTGTATCAAGTACCATAAAGAAAAGAACAGGTAAGGTAGTAAGTACCATAAACGAAAGAAAGGTGTAATTTACTGTAAACGAAAGGAAGTAGAGGAGTACGATAAACGAAAGAAAGGTGAAAATTCTGTTAAACGAAAGAAAGTATAGAAGTACCGTAAATGAAAGAAAGATGTAAATTACCACAAAGGAAAGAATGTATACACGAACCATAAACGAATGAAAGGTGTAAATTATTACCATAAAGGAAAGAAAGTATAGAAGTACCGGAAACTACTCAAAACGAAAGAAAGAATAAAATCAGGAGTGCAAAGTACCTACCGTAAATGAAAGAAAGATGTAAATTACCACAAAGGAAAGAATGTATACAAGAACCATAAACGAATGAAAGGTGTAAATTTTATTACCATAAAGGAAAGAAAGTATAGAAGTACCGAAAACTACTCGAAACGAAAGAAAGAATAAGATAAGGAGTGCAAAGTACCTAGCATTAAGTATCCTCAAAACGAAAGAAAGAATAAAATAAGGAGTGCAAAGTACCTAGCATTGACTACCACGATGCAAAAGGAAGCCTGCCATGATCGAGGTTGTTCTCAATTTCTTGACTATCCATGCACTACGGGGTGTATCCCTCCGCCTTAAACCGCCAGTTCGTCGCGCAGCCAAACTTCCCCACTATCAAAATCGCTAGCGACATAAATCTAAGATCCGGGCTGTCGTAGGTCCTACTGGTCCCCGACCCAGATCGTTGAAAGACTGTAACAAATCTGTGATTTGGGCCGTTGGGCCTTACCAGAGTGATGGCCTGGATTGACACGGTTGTCGAAAGAATGTAACAAATTTGTGATATGGGCCGTTGGGCCCTACCGGACGGACGACCTGGATCGAGGCAGCCTTAAGATCTCAATACAATGCTGGAATCCAGGCCGTCGTCCCTGGAGCTCGGGCCAATGGCCCAGATTGCAGGCAACTTTGGGTACCTCACTCTGCCTTTGTCCGTTGCAACAACGGACGGTGCCGATCTGTGCCATTTTTTGTTGAACTCCGTGCCTGTGCCGTGTTGGCTATAGCCTCGAGTCGTGTTGTGTATAGCCTGCCTCGCGTCGCCCATGTTGTGTATCCCCTAGCACTGTGTTGTGCATGCAGTTATGGATCGCCCTGCAAGTCGCCAACTCTCTCTCTCTCTCTCTCTCTCTCTCTCTCTCTCTCTCTCTCTCTCTCTCTCTTTCTTGTGCACTAACTTTCACACACACATACACACACATTCACTCTGAATGACATGTTGAGTCATATCCATCAGTCAAATGCATCCCGGGCAGACTGTCGGGGTTTAACCCCTTGTGGCACAGTCATGCTTTTTGTGTGGAGTCGTGTATAACAAACATGACAACACACATGCACACACACACGCACACTCTCTCCGCCTCTCCCTCTTAGCTGTGGTTGTCCGTGAACTGTCATGGGCCCTGATTGAGGTGCACTGGAGGATTGTCGACCCCTGAAGGCTAGACTCAGGTCAATGGCCTCTCTCCCTCCCCCCACCAGTTCCCCCCCTCCCCCGCCTTCTTTCGCCCTCTGCTGCTTCTAACCCCTCGTTGCCTTTCGTCTTCTTCTGCTCGGCCTTGAGTACCGGGCACAGCTACCTCTACCTGGTGTGGTACCGGCCTACCTGCTACTTGAGTGTTTTCCGCTGCTCTAAGTGTCGCGGGCTCCTTTCCCCGCCACTTGAGTGTTTTCCCCGCTGCAACCCTCAATGTCACGGCCACAGGTAAGTACCAGCCATTCGGGCCTTCTAAAACAAGTGCCCTTGCGGGTCAAACACACACTCAAGCCGACAAGCACTCAGACAGGCATGCGGACCAGCAAGCACGCACCCACACAGACTTGAAAAACTCAGCAACAAGTGGGAAACTCAGCAAGGCATACATTCCATGAGCAAAACTCAGAAATCAGCTGTGTCTCAGTCCGTGTTTGGCAGGTCATTACACTACCCTGCTCTCAAGAGCGAGGTCCCTTCGAGCAAGTAACTCATTCTGAGTCCCCGACAAATGCATCGTAAGTGAACATAGCGAAGAGATTTCGTGAGTACTCAGTGGCAGTGAGTTTTGTAGAAATTTTTGGTACAGCATTAGAGGCTATTTGTCCTTCGTATGCTTTAACAATGCGAGGTGCGCTGCGCAACAGTTCTTTCTTTGACATCCAATAGAGATCATCCAACGGGTGATACATGAAATGAATCTGGTACTATCTGTTGCATCCTTCCCCTTCGTGTCTTTTAATTCTATCGATCTCGTGACCGCCATTGATTGCACGATAGTCGAAGGATTTAGCATCGCGATATTAAACAACTTTGATGCATGAAAGACTGGATACGTGAGCAGACGAGGAGTCACGACAATTACGTATGACGGATCGAACTTATCGTCACCAATCACATCCAAGACTTCCCACGGACCGTAATAGAGAGGGAAAAGTTTGCGTGACACTCCCTCTTCTTTCGAAAACTCAGACATCTTGACCAAGACATAACTTCCCACTTCGATAGTCGAAGGTGTGCACTTCCTATTCGCATGATGGATCATGGCGTGTTGTCGCTTGGTCATTGCTGCAATTGCAACCTTGAGCAAGTGATCATTCTTGGCGCTGAAGCCAGGTCTGCCAGGTGTTAGTCCATCTGACTGTTCAGGGAATAAGTAGGAGAGCGAATTACAGATCTGCCAATCGTAGTGGAGTCTGTTTGGCGTCATGCCGGTAGACGAATGAATGGAGTTGTTGTACAACCCCTTGACGGAATACAACTATTCAGCGCACGTTTCCTGCTCTGTGATAATTAAAACAACAAAGTCTGGTTAATTTCCTTGGCCAAACCGTTGGCTTCGGGATGTCGACCAGCATACTCAGTATGAGAGCAGGGAGTTGGGATGTGAAGTCCTTCCACTCAGTACTTATGAAGCGCGCGTCCCGATCACTTACAAGGGTTTTCAGGGTCCTGAACTGCAAAATGTACTTCTCGTGGAACTCACGGATCACGATTTCAGTTGGGGCATGAGGTGGCAATGAAATCAGATATAGGAATTTCAAAAATCGATCAACAATCACCATTACTTGTGAATATCCATTCTTACTCGTCTTTCCCATGTCCGTGATGTCGAAAGAGACCAACTATCTGGGACCAATGGGAATGGGAAGAGGTTTGAGCAGGCCCATGGGCTTTTGCCTTGATGGTTTGATTTGTTGACAGACTTGACACTCAACCACAAACTTTTCAGCACACCTTTTCATTCAAGGCCAATCAAATTGTTGTAAAAGGTTTCCGTAGGTTTTTGCCACGCCGAAGTGTCCACTCCGACCGAGAGCCAAATCCACGAAGTGTGTGCGAAGAGGCTCATGTTTGGGTACACACAAACGATCATTCTTTCCATAGCGTCGGAAAGCCAATCCTTCACATTCGTGAAAATCAGGCTGACTGCTAGGGCCAGCTTGCAACTGCTTTGGATCCTTGGTAGTTTGCTCCACGAGTTCCTCCTTCAGTTTCTTCTGGAGGTCGTAGGAGCTTACAAGGCAAGTCATATACTCGGGGTGGCGAGACAATGCATCAGCAACTTGATTATAACAACCCTTCTTGTGTTTTAATTCAAAGTTAAAAATATCAATCTCATGGAACCAGCGGGTCAACGTAGGAGACAAGGTTGTTTTCTCCTTTATCCATTTCAAAGTCTCATGATCTGAGAAGACTTTGAAGTGGCGTGATTAAAGATAGTGCTTCCAGTGGTCCAAAGCCATGCGTAATGCATAAAGTTCGCGCATGTAGGCGGAAGTGGCTACCTTTTCGTTGGGCATGCGTTTCCTGTAGAATTCGAGTGGACGCAAGCCATCACCATCATCTTGTTGCAGCACGCCGCCAATCCCGTACTGGCTCCCATCCGTAGTGACTATGAATGTGAGTTTGGGATCTGCGATGAGGAGCACAAGATGACTCACCAAGGCCTCTTTCAATGTTTGAAAGGCGGTATCACATGCTTCATCCCACTTTTAAGGTACCTTTTTGCTTGTTAGTTTGGACAATGGGCGAGCAATGATAAAAAAATTGGGCCCAAACTTCCGATGGTATGACGCGAGGCCAAGAAAGGAATGCAATTCGCGGACATTCGTGGGCCGAGGCCACTTGCGTATGACCTCAACCTTGGTTGCCTCAGGCTCGAGGCCTGCAGCAGACAACCAGTGCCCAAGATGGATAACGCTATCCGCCCAAAACTCAGATTTCTCTAAGTTGAGATGGAGCTGCGTTTTCTTGAGGATGGTGAATACTTCCTCAAGGTGCCTCATGTGTTCCGCGATTGATTTGCTGAAAATGAGAATGTCGTCCAGATAGACGACCACAAATTCACCAATCTGTTCACGGAGGACCTTGTCCATAAGACCTTGAAAGGTGGCTGGCGCGTTCATGAGACCGAAGGGCATTACAGTGAATTCATAAAGCCCGTCGCGTGTCTTGAACGCAGCCTTGTGCTGCTCTAGAAGATCGACTTCAATCTGGTGGTACCCAGACTTCAGATCAATCTTGGAAAAGACCTTGCACCCACCTGCAACATCATGCAGATCATCTCTCTCTCTCTCTCTCTCTCTCTCTCTCTCTCTCTCTCTCTCTCTCTCTCTCTCTCTCTCTCGCACGCGCGCCCACACGTGCTGGTGTGTTTTGGTTTTGTTTTTTTGAAAACAGGTCTCATCAATGGACCACAGATCAGATATGAAACTGATTGGAGCAGATACTGCACTTGATCGTGGGTGGGGGGAGAGGGGCACATGGTTAGTATGTTTGGGGTCTAGCTCTCTCTCTCTTGATTTCATGCGCGTGCGTGCATTTTTTTTTTTTTTTTTGTTAAAACAGGGTCTCAATGGACCACAGGTCAAACATAACAAAGATTGGAGAAGATACTACACTTGATCGTGGGGGAGGGGGCGCGTAGTTTGTCAGAAAGGGATCTCTCTCTCTCTCTCTCTCTCTCTCTCTCTCTCTCTCTCTCTCTCTCTCTCTCTCTCTCTCTCTCTCTCTCTCTC